GCCTTTGGTTTTGCTTTTCTTAATACTTACACCACACAAGCCATTCGTAATGCCTATAAAGCGACGGGTATTTGGCCGTATGACCCAAAAGCTATTAGTCCTAACCATTTAGACCCATCATTAGTAACTGAATGATTCAATATCTCACCTTTGTCTAGTCAATCTTCTATTCAACAAGCCACATCATCTTTGTTGGTTCAAAAGTCTACTAATTCGAAGCATTTTCATTCTACTCGTTTAAATGTTGAACAACTAATAGAAGAAAATATAAAACTTAAGAATGAAAATGCTTTATTAAAGTCACAAATTTCAGTAGCAAATGAAGAACTAAATACTTACAAAAATCCTGGGACGTCCTCTCTACGTTCGGTTCTTAAGTACCCAGTTCCTCGCATTCCAACAGAAAGTTCACAGTCAACTACAGAAGACCAGACCGGGTCTGATCTACCTTCTCCTAGGAAAAAAAGAAAGACACTTCCATTTTCCCGGTTCCTCACTAGTGAAGAAAGTTGGCACCAATTAGAAGAAGTGAACAGGGAAGTGGAACGTAAAGCTGATGAAGCGAGACAAAAAAAGGAGCTAGCAGCCCAAAAAAAGGAGATAGCAGCACAAAAGAAAGCTGAATGGGAACTTTGTTTAATACAAAAAAACGAAAAAAGAGCCCAAAAGACTCTTGAAAAGCAGAAAGGTCGTTAAAAAAAGAAAGGGAAATAAAAAAAATTATTTTAATCTTGATAATCTAAATTCGCCAAATTACCCTTTGATCTATTTTTTAGTACTATATGCACAGTAGCGATCTTTACCGATTTTCAATTATTATATCCTTTTTTTTTTTTTTATAGAACTATTCTAAATATTGCATAGTCTCGTGACTTCAAATATGTAAAATTTTACATGGGTTAATAAAAAGTTTAATCGATAGCATTGTTAACTTCGCCAAATTACCCCTTTTTACCTTACAACTTCAATATCATATTAGTAATCTTTTTAACTATATTAATAATCCTTCTATTCTTGGTTTAACAATCCAGATTAGATTACAACAACTTTAAAACAACTTATAGTCTACTACTAGCATTCTTCATTACTTTAACTTTCTAATTGATAACTCTAACAAATATACTACTATTTTTTAAAATTATACAACTCTTTAAATTTTTAAATATGAGGTGGAGTTAATAAAAAAGAAACAAATCATTTTTGATACAATTTTTTTTTATTTTTAAATTAAAATAACTTAACAACTAATTAATCAAATTTGCTAAATTTTTTTTTATTTTAATTTTGAAATTATATAAAATTAAAATAAAAAAAAAATTATA